AGCAGAAGTGGCAGCTGTGCAGCCTTGCCATTGACAAAGAACAGAGGAAGACTGGGGCAGGACTGTGCCTCTCCCACAGCATATGACACAAATGTGTCTCTGGACAACCATCCTCTAGTTGAAGCAGAAAATTGAAGGAAAAGGCCAAGAGGGATTTCTAACAATATTTTATTGGCTTGCATTGCAAGCATTTTTGAAGCAAAGGTGCCACTCACTGAGCATGCTTTCCAGACATGAAAGATATAAATAATAATAATTACTATTTTTAATTTCACTTTCTTGGCACTACCTTAAAGTTACATGTGTGTTATTCCTAGAACAAAAACTATTACAAGTGAACATTGTTATCAGTGAAAAATGGAAAGAAATGGAAACTTCAGGCAGTACCAACACGTTCCAAAAAGCAGAACCCAAGTTTATGAGCTATCTACATCATAACGTGATCTCCTTCAGTCCACAGGAATTCTTGCTTTCTTAGAAGGTTTTGATTCCAGAAGGGTCTTCATGCAAGATTCCTTAAAAAATAATTATTTTTCTTAGTATTGAGATGCTCAGAAAGAGAGCCACTGACTTCAGAGAGGATTTAAGTACCTACTTCACTGTACTAATTCCCAGCATCATTGGTGCTGTGCTGAAAACATATAGACAAATTCAACTCTGAGCATCCAACTTCCATGGTGGTGCCAAATACATAGAAGCAAGTCGTGGGTTCGTCTTGGTTTTGCTTCCATTTGTTAGGTTGTCAGCTTTAAAAGAAAGAGATGGAAATATAAACAAGAGCTCAATTTCATTCTTCATATTATATGCAAAAGTTTGTAAAGCTGTAATTGTGATTTGCCACTGTAAATTCAATGCTCTAATGGATTACAGCAGAATAATATATTGCATCTGGTTTCTTTTACCTCAAAAACATCAGCAATACTGTACATATAATCATTTTAAGATGCCAAAGTTTAAAATAAACGAGGGACTTGAGGCAACTTTTTTTAATACGAGTATGTGTTTTCATGTATCAAAGAAGCTGATCCACAGTGCAGCATATTTAGGCTACATGGCCTTTATCAGTAATGTGAGATAATATTTGGCCACTAACCTGTCAAGGTTCTGGAAGCAAATGTTTGGAGCTAAGTGACACTTGCAATTTCATGTTCTTGGTTTAAGACTCATCTGTGATCAGAAACAACAATGAAAGAGGATGCCTTAAAATGTTGTGATCATCCACCAATTTAAACACCAAAACCTCCAGCATGAGTTCAGTTGAATAGTCAGTTTGTTCTCATGGTCAGAGCAGGAGCACATCTGAGCACTGCATTCAGTGCATCAAGGGGAGGAGAAGGACTTGAAGAAGCAAGGAGATATCAGTCTCCATAAGAGCTCTATCCTAGTAATGACAAGAAACAGCAAACCTCAGAGGCTTTGTTTATTATTTGCAGAAGCAAACTGCAAACCTCATGGAATTATAGCCACTATGCTTGTTCCAGAGTTCAACTGTGCAGACTCCACTTTGAGCCTTCTAAGCGTAAACCATTTCTAAGGGAAGACAATTTCTGGCACCTGGCAGCATAGTGAAATGAGTCATTCATACGTAGTGAGGCTTGAGATCTTGCAATAAGCACAGTCAAGGAACAAGCTACACTGCAGCAAAATCCAAGAAAAGACTTGTTGGAGGAAAAGCCAAAGTGTGGGAGATACAAGCAAGAAAAGATGTTTAGCATGTGGAATTTGATACTACTACAGCTTAGTTTCTAGCCCATAATCTTTTATTCGGGTTATTTTCCTCTTCTATGGCACTGAGGGCGATGCAAAAGGCTAGACACAGAAAGAATTCAAGTTACCTGAAGTGAGACTTAGGCACACTCTACAGTGAAACTGTCATCCTGTTCCTTGCCAGTTATCAGATACTGTGGTTTGTAAAGTTAAGAGTTATTTACAATTAGTTCTTTTACCTCTTTATGTGCATCTAGTCTTGCCAGGCACTTCCAGCACCTCAGACATCATTAGGATCAAGGTTCACAGAATTCTACACTTGTAGGGAATGGGAGCAATGCACTCCTTTTGGTCACTACTGCTGTAAGGGGACAATTCCTTCAAAAATAAGCTAAACTGGCTTAATCCTTTTTCTCACTCAGAAGAAACAAACCTATATTTGATTAAGACATAGCTTTTTTGGTTTGTGACACTGTTCATCTGTCTTTTTGAAGCTGTACTACAACATAGTAACAAAACGGAGGTCTCACCAGACCAGAAAGTGAGCATAAGTGCTAACTAGCTGTCAGTCAAGGCTCTCACTCATGGGCAGAGGAGCAGAGAAGGATCTTCATCAGAAAATGTGCCTACAATAAAGCATCTGCTATAAAATCGTGGTCACTTCCAATGTTCCCTGATTTAATGGGAAGCCCTGTTCCATGCTTGTGAAATATAAATACTAGTCCTGAAATCTCAGAGATGTTGAGGCCTGTAGGTCCTCAGAGGATGGGATACCTTGTAGCCTGAGTGAGATGTCTGAATGGTGAGCTCATCCATTCAGCACATGGATTACGTTGGATGATAGAGGCACCATGGAACCTAACATTCAGGTATTTGCTTCTACGCCTCACTTAGGCACACATTTCCAGGACACCAATACCTTATTCTGCACTGTTCCTCTAGCTCCTGCTGATAAGCAAAGCAACTGCTGTGCATCTAACTGAGCCTTCTGTAAACTAGATGCAAATATTTTTTAACCTATTTAACATCTCAGATGGGCACAGGAAGGTGAACAACTCTCTGCCTCGGAACAACAGTGATGAGAAATGCCTCCTCATTCCCAGCCTAGATGGTAAAAATATCATAGACTTGCATACATGACAATTGTTTAATATGTTCACAAATCAATTTTATTAATTTAAAACAAAATTAATGAAGAAAAATTCTGTACACGATTGTGGACACAACACACTTTTTGTACAATAAGGCCCAGATAAACTTTGTTTTTTTCAGTCTGCAAGTGACTAAAAATTGAAATGAGCTAAAAAAAAAAAAAAAGACAACCAACCCCCCCATCACTGTCTACTTTGCTTGAGGAAAAAGAAAGGCTAATTATAGTCTCAATTCTAAAAACTACCCACAATGTGCTTTATGGACGTCTGTGAGTACTGTGTGAGTTGCAGCACTCAAACTGGATAAAGCACATGTGCAAGTGTTGGTAAGATAAAAACCTCTCTGTTGGTAATAAAGCAATCCACAAACATTGAATTCTAGCAGCAACATGATTCCTCCAATAGAGAAGGGTGTTGATTTGTAGCTACATTGGCGCTTTGTAGCTTTGCAGGTAGCTGTTTTGAGGCTGGTGTTTTTTGCAAAACAAAACAAAAAGAAAAGCTGGAAAAAGAACCAACAAAGCTGAGGCTTTTTTTTTTTTTTTTATAAGATATTTAAAGCAGGCAAAGGGAATTGGTACAATTCAAGCCAAAATGTCAGACTAGCAGTTTATCTAACCAAGTAGCTCATAGCATTCAAGATTAGAAAAGTCATAAGTCACAGACAGACACAGTCTAGGTTTGTCCTGTAAATAAGTACAGACAAAAGCAAATTTTAACTCCTTGGTGATAACTATTTTAGCATTTCCATTGCCGGCAATGGATGTTATATCTTAGGAAAATCTGACTCCTGGTGGAAGAGGATTAAAAACTTAAATGTATATGAGCATTCTTGTTCAATTTCTCTAAAATATTCTCATTTCTAATTTCTAAAAATATTGATGACGATAGTTTCCTTCATTTTTGGGTGAGACAAAAACTATAGGTACCAAAATTCCAGTTTAAGTTATGTCTTAAAATATATTTGTGTTCTTTCTCTATTTCTTTATGGAATGACTCTCCTAATTAATTTTTCAATATGCTAAAATAGGGTTAATACATTAACTTTGAAAGAGGAAACAAAATGACAGCAAAGGACTCCTCTTCAGTTGTGTTTTATCTGTATTACCTTTGGCAGGGGGGAACACACAAAATCAATCTTTTCATAATCAGAGTGGATGAGAGAAGAAAATGGTAGAGAAACAGCTGAGAACAAAACCCAATTCCTATTGACACTTGACATCCATGCTTTTGGTCTTGACAAATTTCTCTAAAAAAAATTCATTATCTACATATTTATATCCAACACATTGATAAGGCACTGCACAAGTTCTTGCACATGTGGCCTCATTCTTCACCAACAAGGCATTACTATCTTTCAACAGCATTTACCTTAACAATATGTAAAAGAATCATTCATTATTACAAATTTACACAAAAAATTCTTCCTGTACATGATTGTCTCAGTGATGTACCTATTAGTTTAAATTAGACATATTTTAAACTACTCTGTAATGTGCTAAAATCAAAAGTAGTTGCTGTACCATAAGGCAAAGGCTTATAATAGCCTTTAATCCTGTTATACATATTCTCAGTTATATGATGTCAAAATATAGTCTGTTCATAAATAAGTAAAGATGTACAGAGTACCCTGGGTATGAGAAACCAAAAAGTAAACCTTCTTTACAAGAAAATTACTCCACTGGTATTTTGAAAAAATCTCAGTCTTCATTGTGCAATCAAGTTTGCTGTGTTGAAGAAACGGTGTGTGTCACATTGAAGAGGCTAAAAACTACAAAGCATTTGCAGGTCCTTTTTTTATCTTCACAGGTATGAACCTTTTATTTCCTTTTCTTTTCTTTTCTTTTTTTTTTTTTCTTTTTTTCTTCTCTATTTCATTTTGGTAGCAAATAAGGTAAAGATGAGTTGTTCAAACACTCGCATGGCTTATTTTCATTGGACTCACAGTACCAGAGCCAACAGCTGTTCTGAAGAAAAAGACATGCTCCTCCGTTTACTGAAAGGGCAAGGGTTAAGACCAATTGCAGCTGTACGTCAACATGTTGAAATCACAAAGTTCTGTAGTCCAATGCTGACACAAGACACAGGCATCCCATCCACGGGCAGAAGGAGGCTCTGAGGTTTGAAAGTGCTGCTGAGCTGCTACAAGTACTCCAGTTCCAAGGCATGGTGAAGGGCCATAAGGTCAGAGTGGCTCGAGATCCTCCAAAATGGCATAGCATGCTGTGAACAGCACAGACAGCATGTAAAAATAACCTCAAGCATTCTGGTATTTAGACCCACCCATTGTCTTTCACAAGGATAAGGGAACACTTCAGAGAGAGAAAAAGAGCCCTTAAAACCTTCATGTTTACCTCCCGTTTCTCTGACCCACCCCCTCAGCATAAATTCTCAAAAATAGCAAATCTATTTACAATAGGAACTAGAGTAAACGTGTTGGGAGATAACAAGGAAGGGAGGGGCTTCTCATCTCTTTACATGAAAAACAGATTTCAGCCCATCGCAGAAGAAAATATTACTTCTGGAAAAAAAAATAAGGAAAATAACATATACATGAAGCATGTGGGTAGTTTGAGGAAGGGAACAGAACTGGATCAAAAAAAAAAGCGAAAATATTATTTACTATCAAAATGGTATTGTTCCTTCTGGAACTACCCCTGGCAGGTGAGTTAAGAACAGAGAAATGGAGATTCAGAATAGCTCATGTGTTGCTCACATCACTTTGAAAAGAATTTTATCCCAGTGGTCTATATACCATTGCTCATTTTTAGAACTGATCTTGAAACATATTTTCCATATGGGACATTAAAATAAATACATATTTTTTCCACATTAGTTGTAATAAAATCTGCCTGAAGCACAAATACTTTTGCAAAGAACCTGAATAAACCAAAAACACAAATACTAGGAAAAAGCCCAGATTATCTCATCCATGAAGGGTCAAAACCTGATTAAGAACTATCTTTATACTCTAAACCAGGGATTATAGTGTCTACAAGAACTTTCGAATCAATTTAAAAAAATATATAACCCTCAGCTTTTGTCAGGAAAATATTCTATACATCCCATGGGAGAAAATAGTTTCAATTCAGCAATGATCTGAAGGATAACATGATTGTGTTCACCTTTTCACTTGGTCAGCTTGTGTCCTGGCATCTTCAAGAGGCAAACCACAAGCAGTTTATTATCACAATAGCTTCTAAGGTCCCCAAGCATTTTATCTACAACTTCTCAAATAGGTTTTCTTCATCCTACTTCAGCACCTCCTGAGCAAATTCCTAATTCCAGCAGCAGAACTCCATCTCCTCTGTTTGCCACTTCTACACTGACCTCCTTTTTAATTCTGGTCTTCTCAAACTTTGTCAGAGAACAGTTTTGAAAACAATGTTAAACTCTCTGTTTCCAGGTGTATGTTTACTGTAAGCCCTGTCATTTTTATACTTCTCTCAGAACACCTTAACACAGAGCCTATCACAAACTTGTCTTTAGAAGCTCGGGTGAACTTCTGTCTGTCACTGTATAAGTAATAATTATTTTTAGAAGAATGCTGCATCAATCTAGATAATGATATGATGATTAATTGGGTTGAATTTAGAGAATAAAGAAGATTCTAAAAAGAAACATAACTATTGGTCTTATAACAGTCAGAGAGATAATACCAAATTAATTAATAATAATAAGCAAGACCAAAGAGCAGTGCATGATCAGCAAGAGAGCACTGTAAGGAATCTGGAAAATGTGCACCCAGTGAAGGAGAAGTGTTAGCAAGAAGAGTTGTACAATTAGAGGGTTGGAGAGTGAAGGAAGTGGCAGTGAGCACCCAGTGCCCACATTCCATGTTTTTTGCTTCAGATTATCTCCAGTCTACTATCATGGAAAAAGTGCCCATTAGCAGCTGGAGAGCATTTGGTGAGCACCTGGGCAATACATTGTTCTTTAGTTCTATCTGAAAGAAATTTGGGGGTTTTGGTGTTTGTTTCCCCCTAAACCCAGTCCAGGATGTTTATCAAAGCATAATGAGTAGAAATGCCTGAAAGGTCTGCTTTGGTATGACACTCCTGATCTGAATGAAGATGTAATATGGATGCATCAACATTCAGAATATTGTCTAGGTTTTAGAGCAAAGAAAGTTTTTCAGGAAGAAGACAGAATGATCCCAAAGGAAACATCATTTCAAGAGTTCCTGTACTGCTTTGCTTTACTCTAGATTGCTACAAAGCCTTGAGAAACAGCTGAATCTCGGCTTGAAGATAAATGCATGATCAATAGCTGGTTATGGAGAGAACAAAATAAACAAAATTCAGAGACAACTGAGAAAAAACTTTATGATATTTCCAATACATTTTTACAGATAAATCCTTTACTTTTGAAACAAGTATTAAACGCTATGACACCTTTTTCTACATCTTCAGTCTAGACTTCCGTTGTACTCCACCAGCAAGAGAAACTAGATGCAATTAGCTCACTTGAGGACACTGGGATGTGCAGTTGTAACTGTCCTCCCCATTACATCATACAGTTAACCAATCCTCTGCGATCTGTCAGGCCAGACACTGCTTCTTTCCAACTCAAGTCTTTCCTAAAGATTGATTTCTTGCACCATGTTCAGGAAATAAAGTAGCAAGAGCAAAACAAAATAAAAGGTACTAACCATGCCATTCCCTGGACTTTGCAAAAGCTTCTGTGCACCTATCTCTTACTTAAGCTGAAAGATCTTCTTGGCAGAGTTTGTAACATTTGACAGGGATACTACATCAAGGGCAAAGGGACACAGGTTTGTGCTTGCAGTAGGTCCATGCTGTGTTTGCCAGATGACTGCACAGGATGGCAATGCTCAGCAGTGCTGCCTCATTTTCTTGCAAGTTTGCAGCATCCCTCTTCTTTCACAAATCCCTGCCAGGTAGGATTCAACTGCACTTCCTGCCAGCCAGCCACAGCTCCCTGCTCCTCACAGTCAGCTTGGCACCAGCTCTGTCTCAACTGCTGGGTCAGGGAGCTGTAAATGATGTATCTATGATGGGGCATGGTAAAGAGGTTGGTGGACACCTGCCTTTGTATAGTCTCTGCAGAAGCCAAGAGACACCCTCCACGACATGGATGCCCTCCAAGGTCATGTAGCAAACCAATGAATATGGAGAAATGTAGTAATAAATTCTTGGCTTCCAGTTCCCACATCATGAAGCTCCAGTATTATACTGCTTCCCAAGTAACAATCTCAGCATTACAGAGCAAACACACATCAGGCAGCTAGAGCAGTTAAAGACTGATTGATTTAACAGAAGATTTAGCTTCTGCTAAATCAAATTACAGCAACTCTTGCTAGATGCCCATGTGCAATATCGAGTTTTGGATTATTCTGTTTATGAGTCAGCTGTTGATGGTCAGATTTTAAACCAAAACTAAGTAGACATTATTTTGACTATATCTTTCTATTTCAAATTCAATTAAGTGTCCTCTGCTTTATTTATCGCTGTCTATGGAAGGAGTATACCTCTATTTACTCCATGTAGTTACAGGAGCGAAGTGTGGAATGATACCAGAGTCTTCCATGAAAAAGTGAGTTTATGTAAACCTCAGGCTTATGATTATTTTCAGTTCTTCTGCATATAGGTCAAAAGACCAGTCACACACTCCCAAGAAATGAAGCACACCAGGAAAGTGGCGGCTGCACGGGGCTGGAATCTGCACTGACACTCTGTGCAGGGCCAAACGTGGCCTATTCAGATTTCTATCAGTCTGACTCTATGGCACAGCCTTCATAGCTCTGAGGAGGGGAAACAAATCCAATACAGATCTATATATATCTATATGTTTGTGTATATATATAGAGTCTCACACACATACGTGTTCATATATAAGCATGTGTTTTCTTGAGGCATATATACACTGATTTTCACCTTATCTAAGTTAATGATTGTACAAAAATAAAACCTTTAAAGTAATAAAAATTTCAAACAAAACCTCATATATTATTCCTGTATTAACATGCCCTGTTTATCCACAGTTATTCAGACCTGTTGGAAGTGGCAACACACCCATGAGACAGGAGTACATTTTTTCTTACTGAATGACTGGATAAGAGATTCTTTGTATATATATTTACTAAATATTGCCTTTAAAAATCCATCCCTGCAAACACTTAGCACACATGTCATGCAGAACACATGTCTTCTATTCTGAGCAAACCGAGAAATGCTAATACCTCACTTGCTGCCGTGGGAGAACGGATGACAAATGCCAACCACTAATAAATAGGCAGTGTAACTGGATGCATCAGCGTCTAATGAAACTGTAGGAAAGCTTTTCTTACTTCATATTGGAGGAATATGCATCTAGCCTGGTAGTAAAACAATGACTTTGTGTACTATTTCAATATCTTCCAAGTAAATATGAAGCCTCTGTCTTTTAAAAAACATGAATTATTTTGCAGCTGATAACTTAGTAATTTATGAACTTTTTAATGATTTGATTTTGATGACATTTGGAAATTAAATATGGTGGCAGAAGTTTTAATTTGGTTTTGATGTAAAAAGCATGAAAATTGAAATTACTAACTTAGTAAACCTGATCATTATATTATTAAATAACTTAAAATATTGTTATCTTATTTCTGAAATAGAAGGAATATTATTTTTCAGCATGTACCTACTAAAAGAACAAAACTTCAACTATTTTACTCCACAAAATAAAGTGTTTCTATTAATAGACATGCAAAACAAATCTATTTAAAAAGCATGAAAATTGAAATTACTAACTTAGTAAACCTGATCATTATATTATTAAATAACTTAAAATATTGTTATCTTATTTCTGAAATAGAAGGAATATTATTTTTCAGCATGTACCTACTAAAAGAACAAAACTTCAACTATTTTACTCCACAAAATAAAGTGTTTCTATTAATAGACATGCAAAACAAATCTATTTTTTGAACACTGAAAA